AATTTTCTAGTAAATTAGGTGTTCAAAATGTCCTCTATCGACGTCTTGCCTTTTGTTATTACAATATTATTATTATTCATTAAATACAATCAAATCTATATCAATTGCTCAAATTGTTGATCCTCAGCCAAAATATAATGGTAAAGACATGCAGATATCTCTTCTTGGACGTTCTTCAAAATTTCCGGAGTTATGTTTCTAATCTCAATACGTATCATCTCCTAGAGATCATTGATTTTTTGTGGTCTATTTTGTTACACTTTACTTTTCAAGTATCCTAATAAAAATAAATCAAGAGGAGTTAAATCGGGTGACCTAAGAGGCCATTCTATTGATCTTCTTCATCCTATCCACCGATTTGGAAAGATGTTGTCCAAAACAGTATAGTGTGGAGGCGCCAATGTCTTGCTGTAGCCACAAAACATTTCTGTTTGGACACAATCGGTTCAATTCAGGGATCAAGAAATTTTAAATATTGAGGACCTGTTAGGGCTTCTTCTAAAAAGTATGGCCCAATAGTTTTATTATCTATTTTGCTGTGAAATTGTCATTAAATTCTTTTTATTATTCCTATTATTTTGTACACGTTTGGCCAACTAGTTGGGCCAATGATTTGGGCCAACGTGTTCAAAACCACTTGGCGTAACTTGGTGATTGGCGACCAGAGTTGGTCTACAAACCGAATGTTGTCGGTTTTTCGTGCACACATTAAAGGATCTCGTCAAATGGCCAATGCAGACTGAGCAACTCTATCAACGTATAATCACTGTTCTTATTGAGTCCAACCAGTTGGCCAAACGTGTACTGGGGCCCTTTAGATTAAGCACTTAATTATAAATAATTATCTTTCATTCATTTATTGAAATCTCAAAATAAAATGTGTGTATGATCTTTAAATTCAAAAAAATTGTTATGTAAGATATTGCAAAACATTATGTTTCCGAGTAGGAAATTACAAGATCTATCAAAATATCGGGTCGGTGGTGTAGCGGTCTAACGCGCTTATATTCATTTATAAGCAAGTTTATGTGTCAGAGACTGCTGGGCTTCGAATCTCAGGCCAAACCATGTGGATTTTTAATCAAATTGCATGATTCTGTATAGGATTTGATGTGTGCCGTATTAATAGAAATTTAATTTCTGTTGAAATGACATGCAGATTATAAAAAATCGCCATACATTACCGTCTCGATGATGGTGGGTGAGGTTTTTCGGGTTTTCCTCACCTGTAAGTCAAATGGCACCATCAATCATCATTAAGTCGCCCCAGAACGCCACGGCAAATAATAATAGCCGTTCCTTTCCCCGCACAAGTTCAGCTTTTGGGGTTAAAATTCACTCGTAAGGGGGTGAATTAGGGAGGGTATTATTATTATTATTAATTAAAACAAAACATTTGGGTTACCATTTAAAAAAATTATAAATGGCGTCACTGCCCCAAAATAGAAAGTGGGGAAACTTGAATTCTTTAGTACAGTATGTTCGCTATACTTACGCGGGTTTCGGATTAAAATTTTTATGAGTATTTCTAGGTAAGTACCCGAAAGCTTTAGGGAAATATCAATTGGTTAAATGAAATGAAAAATAACGTACAACTTTTTAATTAAATAATAATGGAGAATCTTTTGTATAATTGAGAGCAGAATTAAACTTCTTCATTAATGTAGTCTAATGTGGCTATTATAAACCTAATAATAATTTTATATTACACTTGACACAGAAAATATGGTCTATGTATAATAAGAGGGTTATTTAGCTCAAATAAAATATTTCCTAACATAAAAATTTGTTCCATGTAGAAAATTTCAAATGAAAAATAAAAAAATTGAACTTTCCAACAAAAATGAAAATCAGTCATTATCATCCAAAATATCATAATCGTCATCATCATCACTGTCATCACCATTAATTGTTATTATGATTGGACTTATTTCGTTTATTTTATTTTCACGAGTCCACCAATCTTCTATTAGTTTCTCGCACTTGCTTTTCGCCAAGTTTTTCGAACTGCGTCGTCACTATAACCATTAGGCCCAATATGGTTGTCATAATATTGTTTTGCTATTCCCCATATATATTCGATGGGATTAAACTGGCAATGATACGGTGACAGACGTAAAACTTGATGACCGTAACTTTCAATATTCTGATCCACAACAAAGGTTTTTGGTTTTGCGTGTATATTTGCCAAGCATAATAATTCTGATTTTAATATATATTGAGGAAATGGTATATGTTCCTTTGTCAACCATTCTTTAATTTTATCAACAGTCCAAGAATTCGTTGGACTTTTGTTTAATACTTCAGAATGGTAAGGTGCATTGTATAAAATAATTACGCTGGGCTCACTTAAGCCTGGGAGAAGTTTTTCATGTAACCATTTTACAAACATTTCTGTGTTCATATTATTGTGATAGTCACTGGATTTTGATTTAGATGAAAACATTAAATCAGCACCTTCTATGAAACCCGATTTCCCTCCTGCATGTAAAATTATGTGTCGCTTCCCTTCTCCATCGGTATGTTTGATGGACTTTACGTTATCATCTTGCCATATTCTCTTGGATGCACCCCTAGAAAATATCCATGTTTCGTCTAAATATATAAAATTCGCCCCTTCTTCTTTAAATTTAAAATATTTTCTTAGAAAGTTAATTCTCTTGTGCACGACAGAACTTCTTTCACAAAGGGCCTTTCTGTTATCCTCCTTTTGAAATTTGAAACCCAAGTTATGTATCACTTGCCATAGACTTGTTCTGCCAATGTTGGCCCTCATTCGATAAATGGTATCACGAATTTCAAATGTACACTACAAATTAGACTATCTACATCTAACACACGTCTAGGCATTTCCACTAAATTTACAATATACATACAATGTCAACACTTGCAAAGAATCAATTCAACTGCAATATTTGTAACAAATTTAGTACCTACCCTAATGTTATTTTAATTTAAATCTGACCATTAGGGTAATTTTACCTAATTTCTTGGAAAGAGGCTTATTGGAACTGGTTGTCAATGACTAATTTGCATAATTTTGTTAATCCAAAACCCGCGTAAGTATAGCGAACAGACTGTAAGTACAATTGAACTGTCCGAACATTTTTCGAAAAACCATTTACTTCCATTATAATTAATTTATTCATTTCATTTAAACCATACTGTATAATCTTAAAATTCATAAACTTTAGGAATTACAATTATTATACAAAATAAGTTTTCGTGACTGGGATTAGAATAAGATAAAATTAAGGATTTTTAGAAGAAAAAAAAAAGTTTGTGACAGTGTCAATTCAAAACATGTTTAAAATTAAACACGTTTTAAAATAGATGATAATTTGTTAATTATCATGTCATATTGGTTATTAAATTAATAAGTTTAATTAGTTTTAATAGCTTGTTAAAGGAGAATTAGATAAATTTATGGAAAAATAATTAATTATAAGTCACTAAATGTCATACTTAATGAAATTATAAATATACAGCTTTTATACAATTAAGAATATTACAGCATTTCTAAGAACAATATGTTGATAATAACAAAATATGTATAGTTACTTAATACGTGTATACGGAATCAATGTTGATCAATATTTTGTACCTCAAAAAGTGTTTCATCATTTTTGAACCTATTTAAAAACTTGTTCAAATAATTGTAAACTATAAAAGATAGATTTGAAATTAAAGGTATATATGGAAGTCATTTTATTTATATTTAAAGCATTTACCATTAAGTTTTAATCATTTATTTTAAACCAAAATTCCTTTTTAAACTGTCACGTAAATATTTATTTAAATAGAAGCTCTATAATCGACAAACAGGAGACTTGAGTAAGTGCTGCTGCCCGAAACTCTGGCCTCTCCATTATTTACTGTCCTCAAGCAATTGGTACTCAAAGTTGGTAAATTCTAATTTCTTTTAAAATAACTTCACTGTACGACGAGCTATACAGGGTGGACCGGATTTAATTTGCGCATACAGAGATCTCGTAAACCGTAAGATATACATTGTCGGTTAAATGGGGAAAAAGTTTCGTATTTTGACGCACAATGGTCCATAGAAGTTTCAGATTTTCTGAGTGGTTCCGGAAATATTCGATAAAATCCGAAAAACCTCATTTTCGTTTTTTAAGTCGTGCGTTGTTATTATAAAAGATACAAAAAAAAATTATACGAAGTTTTTGTTATAAATCAAGTTCCCTATAATCTGCCATAGCCACCTTCAAATTAATTTTTTAAATACGGACCTGGATTTTTAACTGTAATTTTTTATAGCTTTTGTATAGCTAAATACAACGATATGTTACACTTTACCATTTTACTACGTTTCGTCTATGAAAATATCATCAGCCGTTTAGCTTCTGATGATACCGTTTCTTACTTGATTTAAACAAGATAGCTAATTAAATAATAATTAAAAAACAAAAAATGCTTAAAATGTGAAATATAAATATTACTTATTTGAAGCATATTACAAGAATTATTTAATTACAAAATGGGTTACAATTTTTTATCAAACATGATTAAGTACAACAAGCAAACAAGACTAATGAAGAACGAATTATGGTTGTGCACATTCTACAAATAATAAAGCTAATAACAAAAACATAAAATGAAAAACAAAAGGGTCAATTTATAAATTCATATCACCTGATTTTCTGTAAAATCTTTCGCTTAGGTTTTTCACACCGTATTTTTTCTATCTTTATTGTTTTCATTTTTGCATATATAAGATCTTAACAAAATCATGTTTGCCATGCATGTCAGTTGTAACAGTGAATATCGGCATTTCCTTTTTGAAAATATGTGCTTGGTTCAATATTTTATTGTATATTTATTATTTTATTTTTCATCTGTGGGATAATGCATTTTACTTGCATACTGAAAACGATTGTTTTCCAATTATTCTTACAAGCATTTTTGAATTATGTTTAGGTTATGTAAATTAAAATCTCTATCCCAAAATACCACAAAAACAGTTTAATAAATGTACTTACCTTCCCGTTTTGGTGATGATCATCTCCGTTCCCAATTCATGGAATTTGTCCCAAAGATCTTTAGTTTCAAGATGACACTCGACATTTAACAGTTCCTCACAATTGCAAAGTATTTTCGGGGTTTTCGGTGAATTTTTTTCGGGAACAATGTCAGGCGATTCTCTATCAAGATCCGCCGCTTCTGATCCGCAATCTGAAATGGCTGGACTATGTCTTAGTATTTTGGATTTTATCACTCGTGACGATTCGCTATCTGAACATTCTTCTACGTCTACCTCTACGTCGTCATCTTCTAGAGGATCGTCTAGATCCGGGGAACTCAAACGCGAAAGACTACCTGAAATAAAATTTAATTATTAATATTACTCTAGTTATAAAATTTTCGCATTTTTAATGTGATAATAAAGTCACCTGGAAACTTTCACGTATTAAAAATGGAATTTTTCCAAAATATTTGATATTTTGTTACACCGCTCATTATTATACCACATGTCTCGCCTAATATCGCCGTGCCAGCATGGCTTCATGAATAAAAATTCTACCGTACCCAACCTTGTATTACTCAGTGCTACAGTGGAAAATGAGATCATCAAAGTCAAGTAGATGTTATTTTAGTAAAGCTTTTGATAAGCTCAACCACTGTTTACTAGTCAATAAACTTATCTTTTATGGGTTATCCCCAAATTTAATTTATCTCTTTCAGTCATATCTAAATGAAACATTTCAAATCAGTTCTATTTTTGCAAAAATCCTGTGTACCCCAAGGTTCAATATTAGGACCACTTCTCTTTAACATTTTAATTAATTATATATTCTCAGATAATGCTCAATAGATGATTGCAGAGAACTCCAGAAATCTTTAGAAAGAGTTAATGAGTGGTGTGAATCAAATACTTTGCATTTGAATCCATCTAAGTATAATACTGTGACATTTAGCCGAAAAGTAAGCCCAATAGTATTCGACTACAGTTTAGATTATACCATAATTAATAAAACTGATTGTATTAATGATCTTGGTGTGATACTTGGTGTGATACCGAACATGTAGACAAAATTATATCGACTGGCAGCAAAATGCTTGGTTTTGTTATTAGAAATGGCAAAGAGTTCAATAGCTTAGAAACTTTAAAACTTTTGTACCTTGTTTTGTTGGATCTAGATTGGAATATGCCAATGTAGTTTGGAACCTTACACTTAGAACACTAAATAGTGAAATTACAGCTAAAATCATTGGTTATTTGTGGCCAGTGATTTTGACTCTAATTTCACAGTCATTTTAGAATATTTACACTGAATCATTGTAAAATTGCATTAATGACTGTAAAAACGCATTGGTTACTTTAAAATTCAAAATAAGCTTGTAATATTTATTAAACAGTAAACACTGCATTTTTCCACATGCAAGTAGTATTATTACAAACTACTCTGTTATTTAACCCTGTCATTTTTTTGACAAGTTGTGATTTTACCTTGTAAGTTATTTGTATTTTTACAACTTAGTATGTGATATGACCAGGTAATTTTTTTAGAAGATGTAATTTTACGTTGTAGGTTATCTGTATTTTTACAACCTACCCAGAAATATCACCCTGTAATTTTGTACATATTGTGATTTAACCTTGTCAGTTATCTGTATTTTTACAACCAAGTGTGTAATATAATCCTGTAATTTTTTTACAAGTTGTGATTTTACCTTGTGAGTTATTTGTATGTAATATCACCCTGTATGTTTTTACAAGTGTAAATTAACAAAATATTTTTAAAATTATAAGTGTATAACGGATTTAGAAATATTGTATAACAACAAAATATTTGTAAATTAACCGATATACTTTTATTTTGACAAGATTATTGTAGAAGTCATTTTATTACTTATAACTTTGTCCAAAATCACTGAAAGATTTGTAAAAAGCAGGATGCTCGAATTTTTAACCATTATAAGATTGTATCTATATGAATTTGGTTTTAAAGTTTTAAATAACACACAATATGCTATGTTCTCTTTTTTAGAATATAGCCTACTCTAACCTGAAATTAGGATAAAATCTTAGCATTGGTTTGCAATTTTTTAAAGGCGTCTACCTGCGTCAAATATGAAGTATTTAAAAAACTATTCATTAATTGTTTTTGAAATACAACATAAACATAATCAACGTTGATTACAATGGATTAAAAATTATTTATCAGACAAAAAGTTGTCCAGATTTTTAAAAAACACGCTGTTCCACAGGGATCAGTTTTGGTACCAATTCTTTTTCAGATGTACATAAATGATATAACTAAAATATGACAAAATGGTTAATATAAATGGAAAAAAACGTTGTTACTGAAACGAAAATTTAAAGAACCATTAGTTTAAAACAAATGCATATTTTCTGTTATTTTTATGCTGTCATTTCATGATTTTTATTAGCGATTTCTACTAATAGTCTACAACAATGCAAAAAAAATTAAATTACTTAATACTCTACTCATGTTTTGCTAACCATACTTCAGCATCATCATGAAACGAGGTATATTGTATGATGAAGTAAAAAAATATACAAATAATACATTGCAGATAGTTTGGAAAATATAAATTTTAGAAAATATGGTAACAAGTTTTACCTGTTTCTTCAGTTGTGGTATTTGAACTTAAATGAATTAATTAATAATAGAAAGAAAAAAGAGAAAACTGAAAGTTCGTGTCACAGGAATGTCGAGCGACCATTTCTCTCCAGAAACTACTTATTTGACTATAGAATGATGTACTAATAATAACACTAAGCAATATGTATGAACAAGCATCATTCACTATTTTTATGTCTTAAAATATACGCGCCCCTGGTTTACAACTTTCTAGGTAAGCTACCAATTCTATTCATCGGTAGGCGTGTTCTTAGCATTATAAATGCGCGTCCTTGGTTCTTTAGATTTGGCGTTTACTGTACGCTTTTGTTATTATTAGGGCTTTTCAGCAATGCCTGTTGCGGTAATAGCCAAAGAAGTAGTTGTTTTCTGGTTGAATTGTTTTCCTTTTAAATTATTATTGATCGTTAAAAAAAATAAAATTGATTTTTAATACTAATGTGCTTATGTAACTGCCTAATTACAATTGACAAATACAAACAGGATGACACTGATTATCGCAGAGATATTCATTTATATTAAATACCTTTATTATATGTATAGATGTCATAAATAAATCTATAGAAACATAGATTTAATTCAGACAAACTTTTATTTTAATAATAATTATAATTAACTTACACTACACAATAATTAATAATAGTAAACTACAAAGGTACTCAATACTTCATTAGTTTTAATATTAATTGACTTAACCCATTGTCTGTATTAAGCAAACATTTTAAAATATAAAAACCTTTGGAATGAATATTAATTAACATCTATCAATAATGTTTACTTACAATAAAACAAATTTAATAAGTTGGTACCTATTTGGATATTAAATTATAGTAGGTAAGTAATAGGTACGATTAATGTTAACCTTGATTTACTATTTTAACCACATTTTTTATATAAAATACAAGTTAATTCTAGATACACATGATTAAATAAATAATAAGACAAGAAAATAATTATACTGTCTAAGAAGTGAACTTTTTGTGGGAAATAATATTCTCCTATTATTATTTAATAGCGTTAGTAATTTTTTGATATCACAGGTAACTGTGAAAGCAATAAACTTATTAAAATAAATACGTTTTTAAAATAAATAAGTTTCACTATCACAAGGGGGGAGGAGAGACGCTTTCGCGTCCACTTCCTATTGGACATGTATCACCGGTCCCCTATTAAATTAATAAAACAATACCCAAAATGAATTCCAATTTTAGTTTTTGTATTTTTTATTTATACATTTTTGTTGTTGTTGTGTGTGTATTGTTGGTATCGGGTATAGCCCATTTGCTACATAAGTTTACTGAACTAGGGACGTTTATATATCTATATTGGTTTTATTTATAAAGTTTATAATTAAATCGTATACAGATTTATCAAAAGAGGACAAAATTATTGTTATATTATTTGTAGAAAGAGTTTATTTATTTATATATTAAATGTTTTTTATTCTTTTTTTTTAATGTTTTATAAAATAGTATTTTGTACAACAAGAGTGGATATGATGGCCATATCATACGAAAACGAAATTTGAGCACGATACCATAGGCAGAGTGCTCAATCGTCTGAGTGCGATGTGGACAATCCACTCCAGTTGTACAGAATATTTTTTCTACGACCAACTAACGAAAATTTACAAATAAAAAAATATTTTAAGTTATTTAGACAAAATAACTAATTTTAAAATAAATTATGACTTTAGATAATTTTTTAAATAAACGGAAACAAAAAGAAATAAGTTCATTTTATTTTCAACATCCGGAAATGAAACTCGAGTCTTCCGTGTGGAAGGCAAGAACGCTGACCACAGGACCACCTATTCTTTTATGTTTGTTGATTTAATATTCGTAATTAAATTGACTTCATATAATTTAATTTAAATTAAAAAATTATTTAGATACAATTATAGACAAAATAAAAACAGAAATGCTAGTATTTATCGATTCTACACAAGAATACTCCATTTTAATGTATGTTTAATCTCAATAATTAAAAAATATACTGACAATTAGTTTGACAGAATTGTCACTATTTTAAAATTTTAAAAATAATAGCAGTCGGTTCAAAATATGAACGGTGATTGGTGGATTTCATTTTTTTTACAGTGTTCTCACTACCTAAAATGGATATGAAATATATTCGTTCAGTTGCGGGCAATAAGCTAAGCGTAGATAAGCTAATATCCATGTGGGTGCAGAAAAAGTATTTATTACTTTTACTTTTTACTTTTCTTTTTAATAAACACAATCTTAGTTGAAATATTTAACTTTGTCTATACGAAAAATGTATGGATGATCTCTAAGAACTTTAGCTTCATAAATAATTATTATGTTCTTCACCCACAATGATATATTAGCTATTCTGTACATAAACTACAAACCGAAAAAGAAGACCATTTATTCAACTGAACGAATACATTTCATATCCATTCTACTCAGTAAGATCACGGCATGGATGTGAAATTTACCAATCACAGTTCATATTTGATCAACAGTCTACTATTGTATTGTTAAATTTTAAATAAGTGAGAATCCTGTCAAACTAATTTGTCAAATATAATTAAAAACGACTTCTTCTTTGTGCGATATGGCCATCATATCCTCCCTTGTTGCACAAACTACTAATTACATTTCTAAAAATTAATAATTTTCGGAAACATAATAAAACATAGTGAAAGGATAATAATTAAGTCATAAGTATTTTTTTAATACATAATTAGTAAATTTATTAAAAACAATTAGAATAGATCAACATTTTTTTACTCTATTTATAAAAAAAATTAGAGTAATTTACTTTTGTTTGTATTAATTTTCTTTTGGTTTAACTACCGTCGCTTTACCCAAAGTATTATATAAATAAATTTAGACCTAAAAAATATCAATATAAACAAAAATTTCGCCTCATCGGGAGTTCCCTAAGGATCGAACTTCGGCCCATTATTATTTTTGTTATTTATAAACGATTTATGCGAAACAGTAAATTCAAAAAGGATAAGTTTTACTGATGAATTTAAAGCTGTTCTCTACAATAAAAAACATGATTGTTATAATCTCCATTAGTGTTGGTTTTGACAATAAGCTTACGTTTGTGCCTCACATAGGTAGGTATCTTTCATCGAGATAGAATAAAGAAGAGATGTTATGACGATATCAGCAACTTTGCATTACACTTTTTACATCATATGTTAAACTCAAGCTAGTAGAACTTTATTTAAATTATATAAAAACATTTTAATTCCGTCAATCTTGAACTATAAAATTATTAACTTTTAATAAAAACGTCGCCATTTTGGTTATACTTTTATGTCACTCGAAGTGCGTCTATCTGTCATATCACAAAATAGTATTTATGTCATCTTTACTTCATTTTATCTCGATTGTACCTATTTAGACTCAAAAATTTACTCAAAAATTTCTAAAGCGTTCAGTTCCAAAGGATTTATTGTCAAAAATGACAGGAATATTTAACAAACATTTTAAGAGACAATTATATTATTATATTTCAGCAAAAAAATTGATCTAGTTTGCAAGTTTGGTTTACATATAAGGTAATTCAATTGATTCAGATTCTTGAGTAAATAAATACATATATGTGCCACCACTGCCACATTAACCACGTCGCAACATGCCTTACATTTGGACAAAATCAAACAAGACAATACGCTGGTTCAGTGTGATGTCATTTTGGTTCCACTGACATTTAATTCTAACCAAACTTTTAACAAAACATCAATAAATTTGACGTATACGTTTTTACTGTTTTTAGTTTATTTCTAAATATTGTTTACAGGTCATAAAAAATAGTTTAAGGTATGTAATTGGTAACGATTGTATATTTGATGCATGTTATCTTCTTACTTTAGGAATATATTTATAAAAGTGAAAAAACGATATACCTAATTTAGGTAAACAAAACGCTCTCAAAAAATCTAATGTCACTTTAATTGTCAGTGGAACCATAATTACATCATCACTGAACTAGCGTATTGTAGGTAATGCTTACGTCAGATGTACAACTCCATAGCAAACCACATCGATATTTTCAATACAAAGGAAAATAAAACTTAACCACAATATAATCAAATAATCAAGGCAACTCGTTCCTGTCAAATTTGACAATGCCTGTAAGGAAAGTAAAATTTTAAATTATGAAAAAAGAACAGTAAACATGACAAATCACTAAACAAAATAAGTGTTATAAGCAACCATGAAGACAATAATATAGGCACCTACTTAAGTTAAATCGCATGAGTAAAAATAAAGTTAATATAATTATTTAGTTATAATGACAAAGGTTAATATTGGTAGGTAATGAGTAAAAATAAGTAATTGTAGCTAAGGAATAAATATGTTAAAAATACTTCCATAAAAGTTGTTAATAAACAACGATACAAAAATTAAATAGATAGTAAGAACTAAACATGACACCTTTAGTCATAAAGTAAAAAAAATATATTAGACTGGATTTATAGGTAGGGTATTGATTTTTCTTTGGTTCATCAAATTTATAAAGCAAGTATAAAGCAAGTAAATAGGTAATTTACAGAGTTGGATATTCCAAACGTTATTTATTCAATCTGTATTATATTAAAATTCCGCCCTTTTTCTATAATTTATCATATGAATGCATAGTAAGTATTATTAATTTTATATAAATAAAAAGTTCACTGATTTATTAGGTAATTTTTATTGTTTTCATAAAATTTAAGACAGGCACCTACTATGTTTCCGAAACAATGTTCCATCTTCTGGTGCCAGTCAATATTTAATAAAATATGGGGACGATTACAAACATTTTAAAATAACAGAAACCAGTGAACTTTTTATTTATATAAAATTCTACTATGGTCAGGAAACTATTCTTTTTCTATTAATTTTATAATTCTCCTATAAATGGGTAATAACTCCTGGACAATTTATTTATTACAATACTCTACAGGCAATTCCAATTACCTACAAAGCAGGAACAGAAAAATATATATACAGATACTAATGTTAGAAACAAAATAAAAGACACTTAGTCTGCATCAAAAAATGTCAATGATATAACTCACACTATTCACTGCGCGACTTATAGCATGAAATGGAGAATTTTTCAGAACAATTGTGCTAGGTAGTTACAGATAGGTATGTAAAATATGTTGAGTCTTAATGAAGCTGTTTATAGGTATTAAAACGACAATGCTTATAGTGAAAAATAATTCATTTTTATAATGAAATGATTGACTTACCGTCGGTTTGAGACTCTCTGGCTATGAGGCGTTCGCCATCCGGCGGCGACGCAACACGGGCCATAATGGCAGCGATAGAAAAGTCCGTAGCCCTTTGACTCTTCGCCGTGGGCACGAGGAGTCCTCCAGGGACGCTGTCTTCGGGCATTACACCGAGCAACATCACAAAACACAGTCACAAATCACAAAAAGTCACCACAACCGTCAATGCTATTAGCACATGTCCAATACTAGTGCTGCCCACTCTGAGACTAACCAGCTCCTTTTAGTAAGCGACTAACCTCACTTGCACCAGTGAACGGTAGGCAGGCCGAAAGTTTGGAGGCGTGGTTTAAAGAAGGCGGGGCTTTGCGTGTGGTCTGCTATCAGTTTCGCGTGACTGGAACAATCAATCAGAGTTGTGGTAACAGTGGCGACATGCTATGTAGACAGACCACTTGATATCACTTGGAGGGCCACCCACTGGTCACCGGGGGCGAGCGTAATCCGGCCATGGCTGCCTATTATCCTAGTTGTCATACAATATATAGCTTTGTCTTATAAATACAAAGAGTGATTTGACTCTACAGCAAGTCGCTATACGTGTTAAATTCAATATAATCATTTTTAGTCTTATGCTATATTTTTATATTTTGTATCGTTTTAAAAAACATTTAAAAATGAATTTTAATATTTTCTTTTAAAGCCCATTTGCAATACTATGGAATAATTATTAAGTTATTCACCAAAATTTTAATTTTCTTCAAGGTAGGTAGTAATTTATTTAAATCGAAGATATTTTAAAAATCCTTCGCCAAAAATTAAAGAATCTATAAATCTTATAAAAAAATGGCATTCAATGTTCACCAAAATTTTAAAAACATCACAATTGATCCTTCGCCAAAAAATAAACAAATCAATGAAATATTAATTATAAAACTGGTACATTCACTAAAAAATATTGTATAACAAAGTTTTACAAAAAAGTAAACGCCAAATCTAAAGAATCAACGATGCTCATTTATAATGCTACGAACACACCTACCGATGAATAGAATTGGTAGCTTATCTAGAAAGTTATAAACCAGGGGCGCGTATAAGTATTTTAAGACATAAAATAAATGGAAAATAGTGAATGATACTTGTTCATACATATTGCTTAGTGTTATTATTAGTACATAATTCTATAGTCAATTAAAAAATCATTATATTTAAGTAAGCCGACTTTAGGTTAAGGCTGTTCTACCGCTTTCCGTTCGGTATTTATATAAAATTCTGTTACGGTCAGGAAATTATCCTTATTCAAATAAATTAAATTGTGGTAAAATTGTATTTTGGTCAAACGGGCCGTACTTTCAAAAAAAAAAGCTATTTTTATCTAAAAATCAATCGTTTATGCAAAAATTGTTTCACATTTTGAGAATAAAGGCATTAAATTAAACCATTTAGAAACACTTGCAATAAATAGATTTAAAAATTCAAATATCCTCTTAAGTGATCATAACTAGATATTAATAACTGAGCTTAATTAAATCTCTTTACCTCTTCTTAGTTTTTTGTGAGATAATCCCGGTAATGATATCTTATAGGAATTTTATTAATATATTTCTCTTCTATTTTAACTAATTAGTTTATTTTGTATGTATATATATATATATATATATATATATATATATATATATATATATATATATATATATTAGAAATGTAAATGAGTCACATTTGAGAAGTTGTACTTAGAAACAATTGTCGTGCAATTGTTAATTTTTATTTTTTAAATAAAAGTGTGAAAATCTACCATGTTTGGTTTTTCTCATTTTAATAATATGGATTTTCATCAAGTAAAGGCCAAAACTATTAAGAAATTAAAATGAAATGGTATTAAATACTTACCACTTATATAGCCCATAAGTAAATACAAACAACGTAAACAGTAAATCACAAATAAATAATGTTCATATGTCTTCGTCAGATTCTTCGTTGGAAGAAGACTCGTCACTGTCGTCACTGGAATCCTCATTAGGATTAATGACGATAGGATTAATTTCTGAACATAAATCAGTTTGTATTTCTCTTTTAAAATATTTATCTTCTACCTTTATAACATGATCGCAACTCTTTTTCCATTCCTCCATACCGATTTTGTTAAATTCTTCTTCTGCACGGAAAAAAAATTGTAGAACAAATTTCTACAATTGTAGATTTTTTCTCTACAATAAATAGTACAAATAGGGACAGGGACAATTTGTAGTAAAAATTTCCAAATATTTGTAGAGAATGTATTGTAGAGTTATTATCTACAATATTTAGTAAAAATATCCAAATGCATCATAAGAATTGTTCTACAAATTGTTAAATTTTTGCTATTCATTTTATGAATTTATATTAAAAATGTATTGCGTTTTATGAAAATAAATACGAAAATTTTACACAATAAATAGTAAAAATTCATACAAATTGTAGTAATTTTTAATAAAACTTGTAGTAGTTTTCCATAATTATTATAATTATAACCTAGAAAAAATGTTCCTTAATAAAATATTCAATTTATTGTTTAAATATAAAAGATACAAAGTCTTAATTACATTATGTAATAAATCACAGTAATAATAGCACCCTCAGTCTCAGTTGGCTTTTCTGCACCTGAAAAATATGAAATAACAATTAATAACAATTGAACTGTTCATACCATTAAAATGGGGATATTTATCACCTTTACACTGATTTGGATATTAAATGACTAAGTCAGATAACTAACAAAAATGAGAAAGTAGGTATGTCACAATTAAGACAAAAAAACCTCATTGAATTTGGCACAACATTCGATCGTTAGGCACAACTATTTTTTTTTTTAAATAATCTACTAAGGTTATTTAAATTAGTTATCTAAAGGTAAATTATTCAGAAACAATAAAAAATGTACTTACCACCAATAGAATTTATTATTAAAATTTTCTCAAACGCATCGGTGCTTATAATATAATAAATTATAGGTGCTCGTATATGTCCATGCTTTGTTATGTGAACATGGCGAACGGCTACTGCTGTCTGGCCATTTATGATCGACGTCAGAAAACGTTGGCCAATAGCAGAATTCTATTTTGTTCACATGACTTAGAATTTCTACAATATTATAGAATATTTTTGAACAAAATTGAATATTTTTCATAAGAAGGGATGTAAATTATTACTATTTTTTGTAGAGAAAATTACTATTTTTTGTAGAAATAATTATTAATATTTGTACAAATTTTTTCAGAAGTTAGTAGTAGTAATTACGATAATTGTAATAAATTTCTACTTCTACAAACAATAGTAAAATATACTAAACATTGTGGAATTCTTTCCTATTGTTGTAGCATTTTATTCGACAATTCAATTGCTACAATAATGAATAGTTTTTACCTATAAATTGTAGTAAAATTTTCTACAAATTGTTGAGTATTTTTCTACAAGTCTACTACTACAACATTGTAGTAAAATTTTCTAGTCACATTTTTTTCTGTGTGCTAATTGTTTTACGTCTTCTAATTTAAAGGTAACATTTCTTTAACTGACATTATTCTTAACAGTTGCCCAAATCAATTTGATAGGGTTCAAGTCGGGGTGATATGGGGGTAACCGTAAAGCGGTGTGGCCGTATTCTCGACACAACTCATCAAATGCATATGTTACATGTCGGCCCTTATGAGATTTAATCAGTTTATATAACTCTGGTTTTAACCTTGTTGGATTAAAAGGTATGTTGTATTTTATTCTTCAAAGAATTGGAATTAGGTGCTCGATTTGTCTGTACATTGTGATAACTAGCATTATCACAAACAATTACTGAAGTAGGTGGAAGATTAGGCATTAACTTCTCTCTTAAACATTTGCCGTAATTTTCCGAATTCATTTCGGAATGATAATCTCCAGACTTGGTCCCTGATTTGAATATCAACAAACTATTTTTGATAAAACCCATTTCTCCCCCACCGTGAACTATAATAAGCCTTTGGCCTTTAGACACAGGGCCGCCGAGAGCCAGGCCGGGCCCCAGGACAATTCCCTAGATCGGGCCCCGTAATAAAAAATGTTTAACCAAAAAACTGTTCCTCTTATACTGAAATAGAATTATAGAATTTTTTCTAAACAAAAAACTATTCTCCCTACATGAATTACTTCTTCTTCTAAAAAAAAGTCCTCAGGCGAAAACAACTTCTCTAGCCTGAAACTTTTCCTCAACTTCCATTTTTGTATTTAATAATTTCAATTTAAACTTAATAAACTTAACTATCCTCTCCCATCTTGTGTCGAATTTCTCATGCAGTCATGCAGAACAAAAAAAAGCTGTTGTCGGGCCCCCCCTTACAGCGCTGCCGGGCCCCCATTTAAGCCCGGGCCCCGGGAATTAGTCCCGACTACCCCCTCCTCTAGTCGGCCCTGTTTTAGAAATAACAGAAAACAAACCTTTTCTTGAATCGTCTGTCCAGTTCTTGGAAGAAGTATGTCTGCTGTGTATATATGTTTCATCTAAATAAACGATTGGTCTATTTTGACTTCTAAAATATTTTATCTGTCTCAAATATTTTACTCTTAAAGTTCTTATTTTTTCCACCAAAACTTTACGATTATTTTGTGTTTTTCTCCATTTAAATTGTAATTTTTTAAGGACTCTTCTTAATGAAGTTTCTGATATGTGGATATCTAAATCTTCCTTAATTTTATTATTTAACCTTTTAACAGTAACACGAGACTTTTCTGTTATATGAAAATCGTAAATTATTCTTCGAATGTCCCTCAATTGATATTCAGGGAGATTCGTAGCGGTTGATTTTTTGACGAAGTTTTTCCTAGGTGTGGAAAATGTAATTCTTCCAGTTGTTTCCATTGACTGTTTACCTTCCTTCAAAATTATTTTAACAGTAGTATAAGAAACACCTGTAAAAACGTAATATTATATTAATGTTAAATTTAGTATTTTTTTACATTTATTAGGAAACAAAAATTTTTAAAAACAGAAGATAAATTTTAAAAATTTAAATATAAAATATTAATCAAAAATAAAATGCATAGATATGTGTGTAAAATACAAAAAAATATGGAAAACTACGCAAGTTTAATTGCAAATAAACTACAGAGTATGTTTACCTGTTGCTTGTACAGTTTGAAGTTTGATATCATATAAAGTAACTCCTACCTTTTTTGTTGCGTCAAAATATTTAATAACATTGTATATTACTTCACAACTTTGTGCGTTAATAACAGATCTGCGCTTTTTTTCACCCACAATAGAAGACA